TTATAGTGAGATGAGGTGGACTCTCACTAGGCGGACGCCAGTGTTGGCGGTCGGGTCGTACCACTGAGCAGACTCCCCGCCCCCGCGCCGGCCTCCCCGGCCAGGCATCGAGAGCATGAGGGGTCCCTCCCCAGGCGAGTGGGAGAGCGAGTCCTCCCGGCGCGGTAGGTGCGTGGGCAACACCCGCCGTGATGTTCCCAGGAGAACCGTCCACCCAGGGTCGTACCCTTCCACCGTCCAGCCACGCCATTTTTGCCAGGAGGTGGTCCTCCGTTAAAATCTGAGGATACCGTCCCCCGGCCCGGGTCCAACCTCCGAATATTTATACAGGAGGAAGGTGGCCTCCTGTTCGGAGATGTGGGGCTTCAGGGCGCACATACCCCTCCGCTCCCATCTCCTCCTACCCGTCATTCCGGCCACCGGTTTTTGTACCAGGGGGTGACATCCCCTGTTGGCGGTGTGTGGCGCTCCAGTGAGAACCGGTCGCCGATCCACCGCCCCTACCCGTGTCCCTGTCTGCGAGTTTTTATACGAGGAGCAAGACAGACTCCTGTTGGTAAGTGTGTGGCATCGTGACCTCGCGGCCCGCGCCGATCCACTTCCCCTACCCGTGTCCCCGCCTCCGAGTTTTTATACGAGGGGGAAGGCAGACCCCTGTTTGACGATCGCATGACATCAGACCTATTGCCCTCAGTCATGCATCGCCCCTCCCGGAATTCGCGCGCTGCCTCCGATTCTTATACAGGCGAGACAGCAGCCTGTTTGGAGGCGGGGGTTCCAGGACTTGGTTCGCCCAGCGCCCCCTCCTACCCGCCTACCTACCCGTCGCGAGCTGTGCCACCGAGTTTTACGGAGGGTGGCATACCTCCGGTTGACCCGCCTGTCGCTATGCTCCAGGAGAGTCGCTACCCGATTCCCCGTACAGGGGGAAGCTAAGTCCCTATTCGGGGGACACGGCGCGCCAGAGGTTCATAACCGACTGCCAGGGCCGACCTCCCCCAGCCACCGCGCTCCCGTGAGAGCAGACCCAGAGGTATCGCGTGTTGGCCGTGACCAACCAGCGAACCTCCAGCAGCTCCGGGTTCCGATTCGGTGCCACCCTAGGCGGGTGACGCTGTCCACCCCGCGAGCCGCCTCGTGGGCCTGCCTCGGGGTTCCTTCCTTTAGATTCAGGACCCAGAGCGATGGCGCTAAGGATCCCTCCTCCTCCGGTCTGCCCACCGAGGGGAAAGACTTCCCTCGGGTTGGCGCACTAGCGCCCGCGAGATACCTTCAGGGCTCTCTCAGTCCCCGCAGGCGAGGGCCGCGGCTTAAGGACATTTCTGCCCCCGACCTACTAAGGAGGAATTACGACTATTGTCCACCTCATTCTTCGGCCGTGACCGCAGCACCAAGCGGCGGGACCCGATCCTTCCCGTCTAGGTATCCAGGTATACACACCGGTGCGTGCACCCTGCGCGAAGCCAGAGCCCCGTCAGCCACAGGAGGGGTACTCCTGTGTTACCGACTCACACCACGAGGAGGTGGGGTTGGCACATGGGCCCGGTGGCCCTTCTGCGAGTCAACCATTGTATCCTGAAGAACTCTGGGAAAATTTTAAAGTAACAATGTCGGAAGATTATATTCGACACTTTGGAATGTTACAAGGACAAAAGAAAGCATATGCGCAAATCAATACTATGCTACGTGCTGAAGGCAAAAGTCTTACTGATTTTCCACAAATGGAACAATTGCAAGAAAATGACGAAGAGGATGATTTTATGACACTTGAACAAGTTATGGAAATTGGTGCCAGACAATATAATCAATTAAATAAAAATCAAAAAGAAATAACTGATTTAATATTAAACAGATTAGATAATAACCATGGTAACCATAATAACGATTGTTTTTATATTGATGGCCCAGGTGGATCCGGTAAAACGTTTATATACACAACTATTTATTACTTAGCCAAAATTCGAAATAAACATGTATGTACGATGGCTTTTACGGGTATTGCAGCGATGTTATTACCTGCGGGAAAAACGGTTCATAAGACTTTTGGATTACCAGTTCCATTATTTGCTGATTCACCATCCAACATTAAAATCCAATCAAAAGAAGCTCAATATTTGAAAGAAACAGATATTTTTATTTGGGATGAAGCACCAATGGCACCACGATATGCTTTAGAGATTATGGATCGGACATTGCGTGATATTATGAATAACGACTTACCTTTTAGTGGAAAAATTGTTAGATTGAACGAACTTACCAAGTGAAGTTCGATCCTAATTATGCCTATTGTCTCGTCCGGATGGAGACTATGTAGTCGTGCTCCTGTACGCACCTCGACAACAGATTTCAAAACACCGCAAAAATAAAAAGCGGTGACTCGCGCCTCTCCCGCGCTCCCGCGCGTTGCGCGCGCCGCGTGTCTTCACAAGTTCCAATAATCCAGAGCAAATCGCTACAATCCGGGTGGGATTACTAGGAAAAAACGAAGGGGATGGGTGGTCCATCCGGACGAGACAATAGGCATAATTAGGATCGAACTTCACTTGGTAAATTCGTTCAATCTAACAATTATGCCATTATGTCTCGTCCGGATGGAGACTATGTAGCTGTTCATAACAGCGATTTGCCTGGAGAATAATACTCAACCTAGGCGCTATGTATGAGAGTAAAATATATTGTATATTTTTAGCTACGTTGTAAAGCTGAATACAAAACAACCTGCTATATGCCTATAGGATATAAGATATATACTGTATAAACTATACAGAGGGCCTGTAACGTATGCGGATTAACCAACTTATTGTTTGGCGAAAATGAACACAAATTACGGGAAGAGGACTGCGTTACTTAAGTCCCCTGGCCTGACAATGGGCCTATTATAAAAATTCGCGAAGACTCGGGACTCACCAGTCCAACCTGCTGCGCGTTTAATAAGATCAAGAGAGACTCCCTTTTCCGCTGCTCGGGAAGTCGAGGCGTGCCTAGTACTATGTGCTGAAAACACAGAGGTGTTTACTCCACATTCCCCTAGGCCCTGCTTGATCCAACGGCCCACTGTCTGTGATGTAACCGCTTTAAACGGCTTGTTAAGAGAGATAAATAAAAAATCGCATGAAGATGGCCGTAACATCTTCGTCTTATTTAAATAATGTTCCATGAGAAGAACAATGCAAAGATTCTTATGGTTCTTAAATCGAGAAAAGCAGAAGAAAGGTTGAGAGCGACCAGGTGCTGACGTCTTGATCCGGTCTGGGATACGAATTATTAGTTTCTCCTCTAGCGAGATTTGTGATATCCTTATGGAAGAGAGGGTGTGAGTCCGATGACCCGTACCGAGAGCAAGGAGAAGCACAAGTTTCCTGGTAATGACATCTAAGGCGATTGAATCATATGGATAGATAGAGGACAATCTGGCTATCACTGGAGCCGGGTCCCATACGTAATCGTACCGTGGTCGAGGCGGTTTGAGAACTGCGACGCCCTTGCAAAAGCTCCTGACCATAGGGTGATTTCCGATTTCGTTGTGAGAAATTAACGAGATTGCCGACCTCATAGTATTCAGGCTCGAGACTCGCAGAAGGGTCACCGGACCCATGTGCCAACCCCACCTCCTCGTGGTGTGAGTCGGTAACACAGGAGTACCCCTCCTGTGGCTGACGGGGCTCTGGCTTCGCGCAGGGTGCACGCACCGGTGTGTATACCTGGATACCTAGACGGGAAGGATCGGGTCCCGCCGCTTGGTGCTGCGGTCACGGCCGAAGAATGAGGTGGACAATAGTCGTAATTCCTCCTAAGTAGGTCGGGGGCAGGAATGTCCTTAAGCCGCGGCCCTCGCCTGCGGGGACTGAGAGATCCCTGAGGTATCTCGCGGGCGCCAACCCGAGGGAAGTCTTTCCCCTCGGTGGGCAGACCGGAGGAGGAGGGATCCTTAGCGCCATCGCTCTGGGTCCTGAATCTAGAGGAAGGAACCCCGAGGCAGGCCCACGAGGCGGCTCGCGGGGTGAACAGTGTCACCCGCCTAGGGTGGCACCGAATCGGAACCCGGAGCTGCTGGCGGTTCGCTGGTTGGTCACGGCCAACACGCGATACCTCTGGGTCTGCTCTCACGGGAGCGCGGTGGCTGGGGGGAGGTCGGCCCTGGCAGTCGGTTATGAACCTCTGGCGCGCCGTGTCTCCCGAATAGGGACTTAGCTTCCCCCTGTACGGGAAATCGGGTAGCGACTCTCCTGGCGCATAGCGACAGGCGGGTCAACCGGAGGTATGCCTCCCTCCGTAAAACTCGGAGGCACAGCTCGCGACGGGTAGGTAGGCGGGTAGGAGGGGGCGCTGGGCGAAGGGACCAATTCCTGGAACCCCCGCCTCCAAACAGGCTGCTGTCTCGCCTGTATAAGAATCGGAATTCCGGGAGGGGCGCAGCGCGCGAATTCCGGGAGGGGCGATGCATGACTGAGGGCAATAGGTCTGATGTCATGCGGTCGTCAAACAGGGGTCTGCCTTCCCCCTCGTATAAAAACTCGGAGGCAGGGAAACGGGTAGGATACAGGGGTCACCCTCCCCCTCGTATAAAAACTCGGAGGATGCCGCGATAGTTAGTTCGAACTAGGTAGGGCGCGAATGCGGGGGCCACCTTCACCCTGAAAATCGGAAGGTCGGGTAGGAATACAGGGGTCCGCCTTCTCCCTCGTATAAAAACTCGGAGGTGGGGACACGGGTAGGGGAGGTGGATCGGCGCGGGCCGCGAGGTCACGATGCCACACACCTACCAACAGGAGTTTGTCTTGCTCCTCGTATAAAAACTCGCAGACAGGGACACGGGTAGGGGCGGTGGATCGGCGACCGGTTCTCACTGGGG